CCCCCCACAGATAACCCCACTGGGAAGTTTTAGCCTCCACCCCCCCCCAATACATCTGGAAAACACACCATTGGAGAAGTCTGTATAGACTCACTTCAAACATTAAGAGGAAAAACTTTCATTTCATCACAAGAACCACTGATATGCAAAAGAAGAGCTCAAACCGTACTGACATGAAATCACAATTAAATTATGGAATTCTTATCCTCAAGGAGTGGCTATTTTTAGTCACTCTTGTGCATCTGGAATTTCAGCTGGCCCTTTTCTTCCATTCTCCTCTATCACTCCCTTTGCCCTCCACTCTTGGAACTCAATATCCTGCCAGTGAGTATTCGCAAAGCTCATTGATCTGTGCTAGGAGGAGGTGTTTCCCTATCATCTTTAATACAAGACCAACCAAACTACACAGTTGAAATGGTCAATATATTTGTATAGTCCTTCACCCATAAGTAGATTGCAATGAAGACTTCGCAAAACAGGCCATATGAAGAAATATCAATAGATCAAATTCTGTGAACTTATTGAATTTGTTAGCTGTGAACTTGTTGAAATTCATACTAGGAGAAATCAAATCAGTGGGTTAGTTACATCATATTATCAGCAATGTCAGAAATGCCAACATTATACTATACCATACCAATATAATACCAATATAGCCAGATAGGATTTCATGAAAGAAATCATGTTAAGAAGCCTAACAATTCCTTACACATTGGGTGGGGGAGGGACAGAAAGAAAGAATTGGTAACCTTACCCCTAGCCCTGTAATTCTCCCTCTTTGCTCTCTGTCCATTAGACTGTCTATAAGAACTAGGGTAGCCACCATAGAGATGCAGATCCTGTCTTATTTTCCATGATTTGAATATTACATGTCTATGGATCCCTGCAGAAGATTCCAGATTTTGTCAACATCATGAACGCTGCATCATGCCCTTGCACCATTACACCCCAAGATCCACCCCTTTTGGGTGTGAGACATCTCGATGCATATTTGAAAAGAACGGGGCTTGTGTGGTGATTGTGCAATGCTGGTTTCCTCTGTTATAGACACCACTGACTTTTCTCCAATCAGTTCAGGACAGCAGGAACCACTCCCCTTTTTCCAGGTTGCTGCTATAGTTGATTAGGCTTTAAGATCATAACTGCCCACAAATCATTGGAAAAGGTTGATGTCCAAGCAAAAACTTGAATCCAGGGCCCTCCATCAGCTTCTAGTCATTTCTTCACTTGCAGCTTTGGGCATTATCTAGCATCATCCATGCATCATTGTGCAGGCTTGATATCTCTTCAACAACAGCTGGGTAATGCTGTAAAGATGGTCCAAGACAGTGTTTTTCGAATTTAGCAACTTTGAGATGTATGGACTTCCACTCCCAGAATTCCCCAGCCAGGATGGGAATTCTGGGAGTGGAAGTCCATACATCTTAAAGTTGCCAAGTTTGAAAACCACTGGTCTAAGTGATGCATGGGGAAATGTCTTAAGTCCAATAGTACCCTTGCTGTGGGAAGGCCAACCATTTGGCGCTGGGGGCGCATTTCTATTTTGGAGAGCCAGTTGAATAATAATATCTGCCAGGGTGGACTTGGGGAATGCCTTCATTTGCTCCCCTCTAGCCACACCCCCAAAAGAGGGTCGACAGGGAGGGGGAAGTGGAGGAAAATGAGAAAACAGCATCGTGCCGTTTGTATGTGGGCTGGGAGTCACAGACATGTACCAAAGAGGTGGACATACAGCAGAATGGGGTAATCCTGCTGTATTTTGACAAAAGTGTCTGTCCTCAGTGCCCTTTATCAAGGTTCTTCAAACTTTGTTCTGCTCTGTAGAACCCCAGAGTTCCATGAGAAACAAAGAGAACTAACTTTACTCCAATGCAGCCAATTTACTACCACTAGAGCAGTTCTTTTTCTTCCCCGCCACACACAAGACTTTAGGGGGGTGGGCAGATTACCCACAACCCACCACACCCC